GAGTCACTTCCGTAGATGCCCTTTTCTGCACAATTCTTCAACTATGTCTCATGTCCGAACTTATTTCCTGCAAACATGATAAAAAGACACATTAATACCAATACAAAATGTCCCTAGACACACATAACTCTTAAGTGAAATGTATTAAAAATACCGTAAACTCACGGTATATCATAAGTAGAAGTATTTAGTTTTCTGATAGTAAATGTATAGTACATTAATATTATGTATTGACTTTTGCAAATTTTTATAATTTTAAATTAAAACATGTGTACATTTTTAAAAATAAATAAAAAATTGTATTGTTTATGTAGCAATCACTCACAAATTGTTGCTAAAGGTGTATTGAAAATATTTGATTTATTGCAATAAAATTATTGTTGCCAAATGTCTTCCTAACAGATTACTAACTATTGTTTTGTCAAGTGTTTGCAACAACTAATATTGTTGGTAAAAAGCTAATTAGTGGCAACATTAGATTTTGTTGCGAAAATATATATTAGCCACAACTCTACAAATGTAAGGTAACAATTTTTTTTTTTGCATTATTCAGTTTTTGGGAACAATATATTTTGTTGTCGCTAAAACTTTTCCCATCAGCGTATATTGCAACAATATGCAATAATTTTTTTATTGTTATCGAAAGTACTTTTAGCAACAATATCCAATATATGGCAACCAAATTTTTTGTTGGAAAATGTCTTTTTTCTTGTAGTGATGGAGGCACTTTTGTCATAGAGATCTTAATATTTTTTGCCAGACAATTAAAAAGATTTCACCTACATAGCCGCAATTATTTATACATATATATTAATTATATTGACAGAGGCGGATCCACTTTTGAGATAGTGGGTGCACATGTATCTGTTAATTTTGATTTTATATATTCCTAATTAAAGATTATATAATTAAATCTGCACCTTAAAACACATAAACTAAGTTGGTGTAGTGGTTCAATACTGTTTATCGTGTTGCACAACTCGTACGTCTTGAGATTGATCCTGGGTGTTGTATTTTCTTTTTGTCAATTTTCTTTGCAAGATTCAAACTAGCATTCTCAAAGTGGAGTCAAGACCATCAAATAATAGACTGAATTATGTTACATTTTATTTCATTTATATATATATATATATATATTTATTTATTTTTATACTTATTTGACAATATTTTCTGATAAAGTATCGATACTCCAACTAACCTGCATCAGCTTTAGGTAGTGCCCCTATCATTAATATATCCTTGGTTCGACTTTGATATATACCTATTACTATATAATAATTGTAATGATTAAAATTTACTGGGCACTTTGATAGGCTGTGGTATTGAAAGTGCTATCTATACTTTTAAAAGATGAAATTAACATTATTTTCTGTTGAAGTATCGATACTCCAACTAACCTACATCAGCTTTAGGTAGTACCCCTATCGTTTACATATCCTTGGTTCGACTTTGATTATATACCTATTACTATATAGTAATTGTAGTGATTAAAATTTATTGGGCACTTTGATAGGCCGTTGTAATGAAAGTGCTATCTATACTTTTAAAATATGAAATTATATAAATAAGTGAGAATTTTTATGAAGAATATAATGATTTGTATTTTTCAGATAGCTTGCATAAGAAATTTAAAATATCTCGCATAAAAAATTTGAAAGAGCAACCGTATTCATGTACGATTCATACCAAATCGGATAAATTGTCAAAGATGGTCATTGCATACATATAATTTATTTATGAGGAAATTTTAGAAATAACAAACATAATAGACATAATAAGGCTCTGTAGTTTTGATAATTGCGCTTCATAGCTATAGTTATGTTTGCTATGGAGGCTGCAGTTTGTATATTTCTTCCCATTTGTATATCTGGCTTGCGACTATTCAAATAGGATAAGTATATACAATTATCGTATTTATACATTTAGGAATTTTTTCAGAATTCTATTTGTATATTTTGTTTGGCAATATACAAACATGGTAATTTATTATGATTTTTTCATAAATCGTATAAAAGTAGCTAGAGTAAGCATATACAAAATTCTGGATTTACACCATCAAGAACCAAATTATACAAATTCTGGATTTTTATACAAATTAGGCGAATAGCAAGAATTGGAAAAAACTGTAGCCGCGAATTATAATTTTCTTAAACTGTAGCTATAGTACCTAATATGAGCTAAATATTTGTTATTCAGCATAATTTTCCCTTTATTTATTTATTTATTGGCAACAATAATGGAAGACGATACTAATTTGAACTATGCAAATTATCTGTCTCGTTTGGGCCGGATGGCTACGTTCCTTTTCCGCCTTGTCATCATTTATGATATTTCTCATGCCAACTATTTTATGTTCTTAAAAAAACCATATTGAAGTCATAATATATAAGTATATACTTCAATTTAATTTGAATTGGCAAATAAATACTTTAATTTTGATAGTATACGTTTTGAGACCTCTTGAATTTGATTTTTGCTAAGAATTAAACATTACAACTCGTCCTTATTGTGTCTCTTTGACACCCGATGTTCATGTAACACATAAGTTTAGAAGGTATCTAGATAATCATTTTATGAGTTAAATGTGACGTACTTGCCAATTGAGATCAATTAGTTCGAGTGTCTATTTGATAAATAACATGTTTGTCTTGAATTTGTTGGAATTGGCAGTTCATCTATACGATGTTCTTAAAACTAGTGACTCCAGTTGCAATTCGTTTAAGCTTTTTGCTTGAGGAGATCTCTATAAATTTCATTTAGGTTACTCAAATTAAAAACCTTTAACTGAAGTTTTACTCATCCGTTTCTGTGATGCTTTTTTCTTTTTAGTTAGTTTTTTAAAAAATGTCACTTTATTATACTTAAAAACAATTTCACTTTTAAAATTTTCTTTTATTCTTAATAAAATAATATACAAGTATATATCTGAAAATTGTTTTATATTTTTTTTTCTCAAACACTGTGTTAAATATAATAAAAATGTCACATAAATGAGACGAAGAGAAGAAAGTAACATTCAACCACATTTCCCAAAGGAAACTATGTTTGATTAGAACAATGATATTTTTGTACAACAGAAAAGTGTACAACCTAAAAGCTCAGTTTGGATGGCTTTGCCGTACAATGATTTCTGACAATGTCTCATACTCCAGTTACGTAAAATATATGCAGTTTATTTATTTATTGAGAAAATGGTCTAAAACCCTTTCAATCTATACCCAAAATTCTAATTACACACTCCAACTTTATGAGTGTCCTATTATCTCCCTGAACTTCATATTTTTCTATTTTTTACACACTTAAACGCTGACCTCAACACATAAATCAAATACATAATGCAACGTGATTGCACGCGTCGGATCCCCCGCCTCTTCAACTCCCAATTCCTGTTTTTTCCCCATTTACCTCCTAAAACGTAGAAGACCCAAAAATTATCCTTTCAAGTTTTCATTTGCTATTTTTGATGAATTTCGAGAAAATTCAATATTCAAATTAGAGACCTAAATAAGAAATTAGAGCAGATTACAAACCCTAAATTCAAGAATTGAAGTAGAAATGAACATAAACAACTAAACCCTACCTATTTTTGAGAAAAAATCGTGAATTTTTTATACTAGGAACAAGGGTTAATGGTGGGGAAGAAGAAACAATGGTTTATTTAATGGTGGGGAAGATGACCATTGGAGAAAGAGAAAATTTTCGTCAAAATTTAAGGTGTACTCACCTTCTAACGCGCCTAGAGGAGGTGTTCTCACCTCCTATGACATGTCAGCGTTTAAGTATGTAGAAAATAGAGAAATATGAAGTTCAGGGGGGTAATAAGACACTCGTGAAGTTGGAGTATGTAGTTGAGATTTCGAGTATAGGTTGGAAGGATTTTAGACTATTTTCTCTTATTTATTTGATGTCTGTATTTACATTATCATTCGATTAAATATTTTGATTAACTTTTACCTATAACAAATTGTCTATAAAAGTTATATTATGTTATATTAAAAAATAGAATTATTTAAATTATATTAGGATTTTCACAGAGTCGCTATAATAAGAAAATAATTAAAGATATAACTACAGATATATTCCACAAATTTAATTTTGTAATACTGATCTATCCCTTGTGATTTATGTTGTTATACTTACCTCTCTTATTTAGAATAAATACTTTAGAATATATATCCTAAAGTTTGAACCAAAAAAATGAAACTTCACGATAGTGTTCTAAAGTTTGAATTGAAAAAATTGAACTTTAGCACGAAAAATATTGAGGTTCCTGAAATTTGAGGAAGCGGGGTTTTAAGAAGAAGTGGATCTTGCCTCCAATAGTAGCTAAAATGGGCCTTCTGAGCCCAATAACATGTTTTGGGAAAATTACGTGGTAAAGACAGTTTTTAAAATTTAACTACATAAATAATCTTTTTTTTTTAATATTACAGAAATAATTTAATTTAATTTATTTATTCTTAAGTATTTATCAGTTTTAAGAATAGAAGAGATAATTATCATACCTAATATTATTTAGTTTTCATCTCGCTTTTTTCTTGTTATAAGCGTTGCCAACAATCACAAAATGTTCTTTAGTTTTTACAAATTTATAATTTAAATATTTTTCAGATGATATATTTAAGAGTATAAAGTTTAAAGTTATTATTCATTTATTTTCATAAACTTTATATCTAATCTAAGTGAGACCAACAAATTGAAACGAAAGGAGTAAAATTTAGCCAACTTGCTCCATTGAAATTTGAATGAATATGAAATTTAAGAAAGATGAGATTTATTTATAACTTATGATAGTGTTAGAGAAGTGACATGTTCAAACGAGAAGTTTAAAGTTGAATAAGTATTAAATATTTTAAAATATTACTACTTCTTTAAAGCAAATTAAAAAGAAAAGAATATAATAGAGAGACATCGTAAACAGAGTAAATCTACCACCTATCATTTCTTCATAATAGGGAAGGAATAAACTAGAAAAGAAATTGAATCAAAATTTAATTAGTACCTTGTACAAATTACAGTCAACTAAAGATACTGAGGGAACTAATTAATTTGTTTTAACCATTTTTTTTTTATTTTCCTATCAAAATAAAGATACTTAACTAAATTTAAATTTTGAAGACCAGTTTTGAGGCCTAGTGTTTTCAAATCATGTTGAACTTGTGCTCGAAAATCTGCGTAACTGAAGGGGTTGTACTTTGTGCTTTGAATGATAGTATCTTCAGCTGGGAACACAAAATAACCAATTGATATTCTCTCCTTGTGTTTATTCACCTTCACTCTATGCTTCACACTCATATATCTATCATCACTCATTGCCTGCAATTTCACCAAAACCCAAACACAACTTAATAAGAGTTCATGTTTTACACGCAGATAGCAGTAACATAGTCAAATTTTTTATTAAATGGTTCAAAATATAATGAAGAAGACACGTGAAAAAGTCAAGGAGATTCAACATCAATAATATATGGACAACCAAAAAAGAACAGAGGGAGTATAATTTTTTTTTAATGACCATGGAGAGTTCGGGCCAACTTTTGCACACCTTTGAGTAATAAGTTTTTTTTTTGTAATCGTGGTGTCTAAATCAACTTTCGCACATTTCGACTAATTTCACGGGATACTTATCACCTTCCACCAACAAAAAGTACTAGTTAACTCAAGAATTTCCTAATATTTTTTGTCTCTACTTAATTTTGAATTTGAAACCTCGGAATTCTGAACCACTTTATTGACCGTTAGTGCTGGGCAATAAGTTACATTTGCTATCAGCCAAAAAATGTACTAAATGGTCTTTCGCTAATGTAAATTCTGACTCTTAAATCAATAAAAAATTGACAAGTTAGTGTGTTTGGTAAAAACTCTCTTTTCTCAATAATTTTAAGAAAAATATTACTATATGATACAAAACACTCTACTATAGGTTAAATTGCCAGTTCACTAAATTGTACTATAATGAGAAAAGGATTTAATTAATGTTATCATAGTCCGTGAAACTCTCTTTTTAAGGAAAATAATATGATAAAAAAAAGATAAAGGTCTGAAAAATATCTCAACTTTGGTCGGATTTGCTGTTGCGATACTAAACTTTCATGAGGACCTATTACCTCCCTAGACTATTTAATATCGTATTTTAAACATATATATTTGCCTACATGGACATAAAAAATAATGCAAAATTATAAATAGTAATATGTCCATGTGGGCATATATATATACCTTTAAATACACTATTAAATAGTTCAGGGGGTAAAAAATACGGTATTAAATAATCTAGGAAGGTAATAGATCCTCATGAAAGTTTAGTTCGCAACAACAAATCCGACCAAATCACACCCTTATCCAAAAAAAAAAACTGTATAGTATATGTTAAATTGTCAGTCCACTAAATTAATCCATGATGAATACATTAATTAATGAGATCATGGTTTGTAATACTAAATCTCATCGTATTCTGACTTCCTTTTTAATTAATTTCCGGAATGTACTTTATGATTAAAAAAGACTATACAAGTTAAAACGCCAGTCTAATAAATTATACCCTATAAGATGAAAGTTTTCATTTTTTTATACAATATTTTATGATTAAAAAAAAGACTGCAACATAAAATTATAAAACCCAACCGCTCAACTATATAACCTAGTAATTAATGAGGTGAGTCAAGAATTACGAAATCTCATATGTCTAAACCATGATGGAAATAGAGAAATGGAACTATGATTTTTAGGTTATGGATTTATATATATCATAATTTTTGTTGTTTACTCGATTCTTAATGTATTATTTATACATATCACATAATTTAAAAATAATAATAATACAAATACAGGTTAAAACCTAGACTATTAAGCTCTACCAAACCCCTAGCTAAGGTGGTGGCTCCATTCCGGTAGGTATTTATTCATACTTACGCTGGTGGGAGGTACCACCTTAGTAGGTACCTCATGACTAAGTTGTTTAAACTCTCTAAAAATATTGTAGCACTCATGTCGAATCTTTCAAAAATGTACTGCTTTTGAAGAATCGAACACACACCTTATATATGACCTTTTTAAAGAATCCGAGCAACATAGACCTCAAACACTATACGTTTCTTAATAGAAAGACTAAAATGAAATGCATGAAAAATCTAGATTGTAATCAATTAACCAACTCTATTATAATATCTGCATAAACTTCAAATTCTAGATCAGCGATATGAAATGATGAAAGAAATTAGAAGGTACGTACCTGCAACATGTCACCAATATTGACAATAAGAGTATTAGGGAGAGGATTGACATCAATCCATTGATGATCTTTGTAAACTTGAAGTCCACCAACATCATCTTGGTGAATTATAGAAAGTACTGAGCTATCTGTGTGTGTGTCAATTCCCCACGTTCTTTCTGGCTCTAGGCATCTTGGGTAACGATATACCCTTAATAAACCAGTCTCTATGGACATATAATTAGACTCAAATGGTCCCAAAATCTTGAATATTTCTGTAGCCACCCTAGACAGCTCCTTCCCATATTCTTCTAGCAAGCATCTGTTAATGTAACAAATACTTTATTTTAATTAATAATTTATGTACTAATAAGTTTTATCAGGTCAAATTCATGATCTCTAACAATAGATAACTCAGTATATGGTATATTTTTCACTAATCTTGGTGGACATATATAGTTACCTAGTATCTATTGTTAATGGGAAATGGGAAGTGATAGGTATCCGTGAAATTAGTCGATGAGCGTGAAAATAAAACTACTCCTACTATTTTTTCCAATGAAATTTTCTACTGAAAAATGTTTGGTGGATATCCCTCAAATATTTTAATTGAACTAGTAAGAAAATAAAAATATAGTGCTTAACACCAAAAAATTGGAAGCAATCCACTATTTTGTGAAAATATATTTTTTAAAATGTGTTTTTTATTAAATTGATTTGATTAAAAAATCATGTTTGTAGTACCTCCCCTCCCTTTTAGTTGTCATGTTGCGTTTTTGAAAAGTCAATTTAATTAATTTACAAAATTAAATTAAATTATATAGATTTAATTTTTCAAACTAAAAAATTACATATTTTAAAATTATATGAAAAGTACTATCAATATTCTTATCATTTAATTCAAAAAAAATAAAATCATATCAAATAAAAATGGACGAAGTAGCATATAGTTACCGCCAAAGGTAATGAGAAGAGTAAAAAACAACCTTTTTGTTATTTTATTTTTACAAGATATAAATAAGACAGGGCACACGTTACCAAGCAATTACACGATATGTTTGTTGTTGCTTGTAACTTTTGAGTAATATATGGAGAGTGGCTCCGTGAAAAATGGCACTAAGGATAAGGTAAAGGTTTAAATTTAACTCATTTTTAAATATAAAAAATTACTGTATTATTTTGTTACCAGAAATATTAGTGCGAGTATAACTTACAAGTAACTTTGAAAAGGGACAGGCCCACTAGGAAGACCATCTATATTCTATCATTGAAGAGAAAAATAAGGGAAAGTAGTTATAGTTTTTAAAAATTATATAAAAATATTATAAGTTATAATACTTAATATTTTAATATATTTTATAAAAATAAGTACGTACATCTTTTACCTATCCAAACGGTACACCCTCTTTGCGTTTGTGACTGCACACTCTATTTTAATTGGCGACCATCAAATATGTGACACAATGTAGGACAAACAAATCAAACAAATTTAGAAGAATCATACGCTATTGTTATATACATGCATATATCATCAAGTATGATGAAATCGGAGAGGAGAGAAAAGATCAGCTGTATATCAAAGATAAATCGAACAACAACAAGAATTATAATAAAGCGACATATACCTTTTTATTTTTTATTTGAATTTCTCTAAATATAAAACGGTCTTATCTACCATTTTAATTCAGCATATGACAGTAAAAATAATTTCAGATCTTTGATGATAACTATATGATGGTAAAAACATCTACTTTTTAAGTAGAAAATGACAGGCAGAGCCTCATATAAAAAATTAAAGCACAAGTTACGGAGTAGTCGGCCGAAAAAAAGATACGTCCAGAAAAAATGGACGTAACACTATAATTAATTAATTCATTCATTTTTGTCCACTATCAATATTTAAAATTTTGGTTGCGTCCACCACTGTCGTTATCTCAGTCTTTTTCTTCAAAAATTACTGATATCACTTTTTGCGATATTTTTATTGATGGCCCTTGAATTATATCAGAAAACACTTTAATAAAAACAAGGAAAAGGAGGTCGAATGTGAGGGAGGGTTACTCCCTCACATCACAAGCAGGGGCAAACATAACTTTTTTGGCTTTGAATTCATTTGAACTGTGTGCAAGAAAAAATAAAAAAATAAAAAAATTCATTTGAACCTATATAAATAAATATATATAAAAAATATTAAAATTTTAATAAATAAGAGTACTATATCAAAATTTATAATTTTATCATTATAATAAAAATTAACGTTATAATTTTTAAAAATTGAACGCATTATGATATTTAAATGCTGAATCCACGTACGGTCACATGCACAACTTATTTGAGACCGAAAATGAAAATTTGGAGAGAAAAAAAGAGCTACTATAAGTTTCATAAACAAGAATAATACGTATAAAAAATCATTTTCAATATTTCAGCTTGTCTTTAGCTAAAATAGCTGCACCATTCTGTTGGCCGAATTCCGTAATTTTATCTTCAATTCTATAAGCAGCATATGTTTTTAAAAAAATCATACCATTGTCCATATGTGTAAATATTAAATCCAGTAATATGAATTATGATCCATAGTTTTAGTACCATCCCAAACTGGGACGGGCCGTCTATTATTAATTTCTTATATTAAATTTTTTATCAAATACTATATATAAATATTTGATTTTGAACTCGATTGTTATTATATATTCTAAGTAAGAATCATAAACTTCAAATTCAGTTATACGGCCCATCATCATTGAAAAGTCTCACTGATTTAACTAACTGTCAACTAGATCAATAATGCAATATAGTACTCATGTAGGCTTTGATTTTTCTAGAAGTCAAATTTACCCAAAAAGAAAACAAGAAGCAGAAGATGAGAACCTGAAAGTTTCGAGCAATAAATCTTGATAGTGAATATTTGATAATTGAGCTAATGAAACATTGAATCCTTCCATCCATTGTAAGCTCTGGTTATTATTTTCTTGTGCGCCTTTTTTTGGCGCTAGTGCGGCGCCAGAGGGTGATAGAGCAGGGGAGCCCCAAAAATAGGAAATGGGGCTAACAAAATTGCTGCTGCTGGTGCTATTAGCAAAAAAGGCCTTTTTAGTTTCATAGGGCAAAGAAAAGAGTTTTTTAGCATGTTCTTCAACTTGGTTCAATAAAGTAATTGGAATTCCATGGTTCACCAATCGAAATAATCCCCAATCTCTACAAGCTTCACTGATTAAATTTCGATCTTCGTTAACATCTTGATATTTTGTTGTCCTTATCGTTGGAGTTGTGCATTTGAAATAGTCAATAACGGGGATATGAGAGTCTAATAAAAGTGACTCTGTTTCATCAGAGTTGGATTCTTGAATTTGGGGGATGTTTGGTGGTGGTCGAAATAAAGGAGGGTAGGATTCAAAGTAATAAGATTGAGACATATTGTGTTTCTTGTTTAGCCAACTTAATTGCGTAGCATCAAACAGGTATTTTTATAAGCGGATTTTGGAACTTAGGCCATGGTTTTATAGGCGGGGAGGAGTTACCGATACCCTTTGAATTTTAATAAATGGCGTCATATGAAACCGCTAATGAATTCTAGCAATATTGACCGTATTAATAAAAAATCGAAAGAAAGTGTTTAAAATATCTCTTAACTAATTTTTAAAACACTTCTTTACTTGTTTCTTATCTAGATTTTTTATTAAGAACTTTATGCTTCTACAGGAGATTTAAATAGCAATGTTATGCGTGTATCATATATAGGAAAATATCTACGTGAAAATTTAATAACATTTTTTTATCTTAATGGTTAGTTTTAGGGCAATAGACCAAAATGATCATCTTTTGCTATACTTTAAGGACTATTTTAATAAGGTGATATATATAAAGGATCAAAATACTTCAACTCCGACCATTTTGGCCATTTTCTCGCCATTGCTAGGTAGAAAAATGGGTAAATTCTCGACAAAAGTGGACAAGCCTGTCCCATTACATCTACACGTGGACATGGTCCCTAAAAAAAGAATTGTTGTCCTTTTATATAGGACAATTTCCATATAAAAATATCAGAGGTCGTAGAAACAGAATTATTAATTTTTTACAGTGTATGGTTCTGTAACTTCCAACTTGGCGCTCTTAGGTAGCCAGTTAGAATTATACATATATTAATAATATCGGGATGAATTATGAATAAATTTATATATTATTTTATACATATCAATATAAGTTATGAGTGAATTTTATGTATATACATATATCTATGAGTTATTTCAACTCATTTTCTATCCTACATAAAATAAAATGTAGATTTCTCATAACTTATACATGTATTAGTTATGCAAGTTTCTAGATTGTCAATCAAACATCATATTAATTGTATACATGAATAACATATTTTCTATCTACACATCAAACATCGTATAAGTTATATAAAAACAAATATATGAATAATTTATTTCTGATTTAACTACCAAACAAACTCTTACTTCTCGAACTAGTATAAGTTCAAACCAAAGTTAAAGCTTCAAAAGTATTGAGATAAGTTCCTTCTCTTCTGAAGAAAGAGAATCCTTCAACTATTATTTTAAAAGCTCAAAATTTCAGTGAAAGTCACTTGACGATAAGAAGAGAAGTTCTGCCTCTACTTGAGTTAAAGGTTGCTCGTCGCTTCCCCTTTTCTCCCCCTAAAGCTCTTAACTCAAATCTCAATTTAAATGGCACAACTTCTTTTAGTTTGTGAGCTAAAACAAAATACTACTTTTTTATAATTTAGAAACAATTTAATTAATTTTACGATTAATTTCGAATCATATATATTTATAATTTATTTAAATTACAATTTTTTTAATTACTAGTAATTAAATTTATTATTAAATAAAAAGATATCATGTAAATTGAGACGATAGGAGTATCTGTCATTTTATCACAAGTGAATATGTATGTGAGGGAAATTAGAAGTAAGGTCTGTGTTTGTGTGTGTGTTTTGTGGTTTTAATAATTGAGAGTTTCTATGAGTTGTAATTATCAATCTACTCAGCTCTTCCTTTTTCAAGGACTCAGTATATAATGAAAGATTCCGATACGAACACTGAAGTCGACGTGTCCTCTAAATTTGTGCATTCATTTCATCCACATGGGTAAATCAAGTATATGTTCAATGGATTGAAGTAAAACTTTTTCACAGAACTTGTAGTGCTACTGCATCTTATGTGTGGTTCTTTTTTTTTTCATCTTTTGTTTGTACTTTTGGTGTACGTTCAGTAGCGGATCTAAGATTTTAAGGTTGTGGGTGCTCTGAAATTAGCAGAATCAAAAATATAAATTTGTATGTGTCTCTAAGCTACGAGTAAATAGTAAAATTGAGACGGGCTCAAGTCATCACTCTACTATTTTTGTAAGAAGTGATTTTTAGCGATAGTGTATTATCGGTAATTAAGTTTTAGAGATAATTATTAGTGAAAATTATATTTTAGCATTCTTTATTAATATCGTTAAAGTCTATAATGACATTAGATCTAATTATAATTAATTAATATTGATAAAGACTCTAACATTCTTAGTTAATATGCATATTTATTGCCGCTAAAAGTTGTTTTGTTATAGTTAGATCGTATAATATCGTCAGGGGCGGAGCCAGCAGTATGTCAGGGGTTTCATCCGAACCCTTTTCGGCGGAAAATATTACTATTTATACTTGGTTAAAATTATCTTTTATGTATATACAGTAGATGTCGAACCCTCTTCGATTAGTTAGTATGTTTGCTTTTTCAGATTTTAAACCCCCTTATTAAAAATTCTGACTCCGCCACTGAATATCATCTATTTTAAATCACATTTGCACACTTTTCACCAAAAGATCTCACCTTTTTATGAATTTCTACAAGAACTTTATTAGCATATAGTATTACAAAAATAAGATTTTATGATTGATTTAAGAGTGTTAAAGTTCCTGCTTTAGTTTGTCACCTACAGGGGCGGAGTCGACCGTAGAGCTACGAATTCAACAAATATGATTTCAAACGATGTATTTGTATTAATTTAAAAAAACATATATGTATAAATAATTAATTTATAATCGAATAGATAAATAACTCAAAACAAATAAAGTAAAAATTATAATTCCGACTAATCTAGTCCCCTATTCCAATCTCCAATGTGAAAAATGGAGATGAAGAGAACAAAAGAAGAGTAATTTTTTATGGGATAAGAACCGCAAATAGCTATATGATATAATTAAGTTCTAACTATTTGACTATAATTAGAATCTACTTTTTCCCTCTATTACCAAGAGGATCAATTTTTGGATAATTATTGGTCTGAATTATTTGATCGTCTAGTTTATAAAATAAATTATGTATTTTTTTTACTAAATATGCACTTATATACCATATATACACTAATGATGATATTTCATTCATATTGATAAACTAATTGACTGAACGATTCTTTTATTTTTTTTCAAGCAAGTTGATGTAGTTGAATCCCAGATTCTTGGGGTACAATTGTCTAAGTGCAATTAACATGGATTCCAACTAGCTAGCTTAGTGGCCCAATGTTATACATATATGTGTGCTTGGGTTTACCCTACTTTTCATTGAACTTGTCAGAGAGAATCAACTTTTTGGACAATTTTCTCATCTTTAAAGCTAAATGTCCTCCATTTATAAAACAATTGGGACACAGTCCTATATATTATCAAATACATGTATGGATGCTCACAAGGGTTGCTTTAATTTGCTGGAAATAATAGCATTACAAGTCATCAAATTTATTCTTAATATAACAGATAAGGTTACCTAAACTCAGAAGATCAAAATCATTGCATTTCTTTCGATCTTACTTTGATTGTGTTTTATTTTTTGAGTCGATAGTCTCTTGGAAACATCCTTTTCTCTCTAGAACTTATTTATAGAATTATACCGAATATGTTACTATTATATTGTTTTGGTAACAAATTAGACCTGGCTTTGTCTAATTTGCTAACATTTGTATTAATCATATGCCCAAATGAATTAGAACTTTGAAGAAAAATAATGATTAAAGATTTTTATCATTTTGTCCATATTGAGTTGGTCTTGTATAGTTGGCCCACCAATGAATTATTCCTTGCAATATAGACAGGTTTTGTTGGGCTTGAGGTACGTTGTCGGTTTTGATGTTTAATCTTGTTAGAAAAAGTAATTTTGAAAAAAAAAAATTGGAAATACTTTTTAAATGTTGGTCAATTAAAAAATATAATTTTAATATTGGCAAAAGTAATACTATTCTCTAGAAATATCTTTCACATTATAAAAACTTTGTCAAAACGTACTATTAATTTCACTATTTAATTTTACTTATGTTTGTACATCTCCTCCCATATAAAAGAAATTTATTCAATTACTTTGAAGGTTAAAATTAAGTTTAATCGATCAATAACAATAAATTTAAAAAAATAACCTCTCAAAAATGAGCGATTTATTAGAATAATCTTATAAATTGATTGTCTTGCACAATTAACGTCCTTATTCCGCTTGCTGTATGAATTAAATTTCAAGTTTAATAAATTTTGATAATACTTTTCTATGAGATAAGTTGGGTTAAAAGTTTAAAATTACTTATTTCAAGGTTATTAAAGGTAGGCTGTTGATGATAAAGGGCCATAGCGTGCAAATAAATCCGACAAATGATATCCTTTTTAGAAAGGCCAAGTGGCCCAGGCCCACTCAACTCACCTGGTGCGATTCAATTTTGGGTCGGCTAGTAATCCATCACTTTTATGGTGAGAAACTTTCACATATAGCAAACAAAATTTATATTTGTATGCTATAGCAAACTTTGCATAATTGCGCTCTATAGCAAACATAAATATGTATATTTCGCTATACATATACAAAAGAAAGCAGTTGTATAATCTGCTTTGGTATACATATACAAAAAGATCAATTGTATAAAGTGAGAGAGACGAGTGAGCGAGCGAGATCTGGGAGAGTGGCGAGAGAGGGGAGAGGGGAGAGAGGAGAACGAAAATATATGTATATATACAATTTTCACGCATTTTATACATTTGCATTTTTGTATAAAGTGAGAGAGGGAAGTGAGAGAGCGAGATCTGGGAGAGTGGCGAGCGAGATCTAGGAGAGGGGAGAGAGAGGAACGAAAATATATGTATATATACAATTTTCTCTCACTTTATACAAACACAAACGCACTTTATACACTTGCGTTTGTATAAAAAATGAGAGAGGCGAGGGAGAGAACGAGAATGGCGAGGGAGAGAACGAGAATGGCGAGCGAGATTCACCAGGAGAGAGGTTAAATAGCAATAGTTTGCTATGGGGTACAATTAAATCAAACTATATTTATAGCATTTAATTTGAATTAATAGTTTGCTATTATATACAATTTTCCCTTTTATGGTCCCGTGTGCTATAAGAAAAGAGAATTTTACCTAAATTCGATATTGTAAAGAGCTAATTATATTTATTTTTTTAAAAAAAAATTATGATTTTTTAAAATTTAGTAGAATTTGGATACATCCCAAAATGTTCCCGATACATCACATCTAATTTTGAATACGTCGCGTCTCAATTTCAGATATATCACTCAATGTCACGATACATCACGTAAAGTTATGTATCCAAGAATAATAGAGAGTAGGATTTTTTGTGATTTTTTCAAATAGTTAACTTTAAAAAATATGACAAAATAAGTTGTGTATTAGAATAATTTTTCCAGCAAAGGCGAATCTAAGTGAAATCCGATTTTTTTATATGAAGAAGTTAAGATCAACTTTCAATCAGTGCATCGCTCAAATTTTTTTTTTAAAAAAATTTGTAAGTGTCTTCAAATAAAACTAAACATATTTTAAAATTCTATATATAAAATATATGTCTTTAGATAAAACTAAATATATTTTAAAAATTATATATGGAATTTGTCGCAAGGCACTTGTCTATAGTCCAATGTGTATTTAAATATGATTTATGAACTATCACATTATAATGGAAGCATACTTGAAGAATATCAATGGCAAAAAATTTTATTACAAAAAAAAAAACATCAAATTAATGATCTTTTTTGTTAAGATATCTTTTCAAAAAGTATTTCACTCATCAATCAAACATTACAAAACATTTTTAAAAAAAAATACACTTTGTAAAAATGACTCATAATTCCAAAACAAGAGGAAAGACAATGTCCCATGAGACTTCTCTTTATGTTATTTATTTTGAGATTTGAGAGTGTTATTTATTTTTATATGTTTAAGTCTTCACAAACGTGTATATATATATATATATATATAGTTATTTGATTTATATTTATATTGAAAAATAATAAATACCAAAGCAAATTAGTTCAAATAATATAATCATAAAATAAGTTCAAGGAAATGAGAGTCCTAAATACAATTACTAGCTACAACCTTAAATTAACTTTAGTAACATTAATTTGATATAGTCTGTCTACTGTTGTGAAAACTTTTAATATGATGGTGCTTAATTAGTACTCTATTATTCTTATAGTAATATTTTTTATATTTTGCATGAACTACTTTTCCCATTTCTGACTTTTGATTCCTATTATTTAGTTTGCACGTAATGCTCACATGTTCCAATAGCAACCAAAATTTAATTTTATGCATGGAGTATTAATCTATTTTCTTCCAGTTTATGTAACACCTTAATTTGCTGTCTGAAGACATCAAAACAACTTTGGAGCTCTGTTTAATTTTTTTCCACTCTAAATTGAATAAAAAAAGTTTATGACTTAGTGTTGTAGTAACTTGGAATTGAAGCAACGCCCATACTTTTATCACTTACAAAACAAAATTTATGCATGTTTTATCTCATTGTGTCTTGTACATTATATCGAATCTCACATCGATAAAACATGAAAGATATAAAGGATATATAGAAACACTAGTGGCATATTTTAAAATAATGCAGGCACAGGCTCAAAGCTGATATTATCACTAGTGGATTGGACGGTATATATGTATAATGAAAATCATATAGTTGATCCCAATTTATCTGAAATTGAATCGCAATAGTTGTTGTAGTATCATGATATCCCTAAACAATGCCTCTATATACATGCAAAATTTTAAGGAAAGAAAATTTTGTTATAAATATGTAGCTTTCTTTAAAATGAAGAGAAATTTAAATAGATGGTTTTATTTTGAGTAAAGGAAGCTACAACAAACTCGTTGACCCAAATTTGATGGATTAGATAATTAAAACACATTATGATTTCCAAACAAAGTCGTGGCCACGTAAAGCTCACCAGTTGCTAATTTATGTCAACTCTTCAACCAGAGGCGGATGTAGCACATCTATATCAGATACTTCTGAACTCAGTATTTTTGATGCAACGCAAAAATTTATAGGTATAAATAAACCAAAATTATATTAATAAATAGTATTTATGAACTCCTAACTTTAAAGATACGGTGGGTTCAATATTACTAAAAACCTTAAATAATAAACTCATAAAATTTAAATCATGAGTCCGTTCCTGTCTTCAACAGCCTTATAAATAAAGAAGGTTATTTGGGTTCTCATCATCTTGAGATGGCGGCTGGTTTTGGAATTCGACACTACTTGTGTATGATGTTTCTTCTTTCAATTATATTTTGTGTTTCAGCGCGAAATTTCATTTCAATCTCAGGTAATATATATATACACCCCTTCTTTAATTATGATTTATTGAAAAAATAAACTTGCTAGCTTCATTCCAAGCATATTGCATGTAATCGATTGTTAGAATCAATAGGTCTTGAAATAGTTGGTTGAATTTTTTTTGAAATATATCATATCCATCTTATCGGACGGTCATAATTAAAAATTACTCCAACTTTTTCGCCTTAAAACTTTATTTCGGAGCATTTAACGGAAAACCTGACTTCCCCAAAAAAAACCCGAAATTCTTGATTAATGGAGGAACAATATCACTTTTTTGTTCAATCAATATAAGATACCAGATTGAGATTTATTTGAGTCGTATTTTAAAAGCCTGGCCCATGTCTAATCTATTGATGGTATGATTATAAAAGTTTGTCATTTAGGGTAGAAAATAAATTTTTTAATATTAAATTATGATGTTTTCATATATCGTTTGCATGCAGATGATGAGATGACAATGTTACAAGTGCAGATGAAGAGGTCACTGCTTTCAGTGCAGCTAGATGATTATGGTTCACCTTCTGCGAACCGCAATCACTATCCTGGCAAGCCCAGCAAGTCCAAAGGTGGCCGTGGCTAGTTCATGCCCTGAACTATAATATTTAATATATATTTTATATTAGTTTATCTTAACTAGTACAAATAAAATGCCCAAAATTTGTAATGCAAATGTTACTACTATATTATTTCATATTCTGTTACTCCTTATTTATAAATGTTATAATACGGATTTAACTATAATATTTTTAAGTGTTTATGGTACTTATGAGCCTATAAGATTAACAATAAAGTGTCCTATGAGTTATTGAATTGATATGTGAAGATATTTTTTATCACCATGGAAATATTTTTGATTATTAGAATTTAGTTGATAAGTCCATTTCAGGTGTCGGGCTTGGTATTTAATAATAGTATAGTAATCAAAAAACTAGTTTCTATCATGAAATTTTAAATTTTACTGGTGAAATTAAAATACAATATTTTCATAGAATTTTATTTATTGAATTTAAAATTCCAAGATAGTGATTATTTTCAAAAATATGACGGAACTGATGAGTGGGTGCAATTTTACGAATAATGGGCTTAAAGAAGCTTCATGTTTTGGGCCCACTTTAGAGGCCCAAATATGCCTGAAATAGACCCATGCCACTCGTATAATGGGCTCAAAGATTAGCTGGACATTAATCCAGCTGGCCTGTAATTTGTGGAGTAAAAATCAAAGCAGGTGTTCTAAAATTTATTTCCTTAATTAAATTACGAAATTAATGCAATTTCAGAAAATATTTTCCTAACTTTTTAACTCTTATGCGTAACTTCCTAATTTGAAAGATGTATGAATAACAACAACACATTATGTGAAACTTCATAAATAGATATGACAAAATAGAGTGTACGCAGTCTTATTTTTACCTCGTGAGTGAAAAAGTTGGTTTTCCGAAAAAATTATATACACCAAATAAACACGTTAATTTCCGAGTTCCATTTCAAATAATATGGGAGTTCTCACTTTAATTATGTTAGGGCTCAATTGGCTTAGTAGTCCTTAATGAATTTAGGGATTATTTTCATGTATACCCTATTATTTAGAGGAATACAATCTTGTTAAGTTAAGGCACTTAAATATATTATGATACCACAGTAGTGCAATCTTGTTAAGTTAAGGCCGAAAAATCAAGTATCAGAGTAAATCTTATAGAATTAGGTCATTATCAAAGTAAATTCAAGATTAAAAAAATTATACTCTTAATCAACTTAATCAAATATCGTATAAAGTTAACTTTTTGAAATCTCATCTTATCCTATTAAATTTGCAATTACTTTTTCCATCTCTCAAATAAAATAAATTAGTTCAACATTGAGATAATTTAATTTGTGCACAAACACCCTTAGGGGTTGTTTGGTTGAGAATAAGTTATCTCAGAATTAGCTATCCCATCATGTATATGAGATCAATTTATTTCATCACAATAATATAAATAGTGAAATAAGTTATTCTAAACTTAACAACCAAACAAGACATCATAATTTTATTTCAAAACTATTTATCTGGTCCAAAGTCCATATTGCCGGCCATAATTTAGCAAGTAAACGTCAATCCATTATCCAATAGATAGGATCGGGCGGCTCTATTTAATTTCTGTATCTTTTCCTACTTTTGACTTTTGAAGCCAATTGACTAATTAACAAATTGCAACTTGCTTTGAACTGTCTCCAAATATTGCATCACATATTCATTGCACCGCCTTTTCTTACCTTTTCACAATCTCTGAATTGGCCTGCCCTATCTTTTAGCACTTGGAATTTGGCATGATTTTGCACTACAAATTGTCACCTTTCTTCCTGTCCTTTTCTTATCTATTTATTCATCATTCAATATTGATTCACTTAATCCAAACTTATGTTATGTAGGGTTCATATAAAACGATTAATTCAAACTAGTATCGCGTATTGTGTATAAAACATTTCTTACTAGAAATTTGATTTTTTTATTTCTGAGCCCTTGAAATAAGGAGATAAGCTAGTATATAAGTTATAGATTCGACTGAATAAGTACTTTTATCCAAAATTCATCGAATGTGTACAAATCATTAATTTAGAAATCAATAATATAAAATTACTAAAATTTCAAACTCATTGCCTCTGCTTGAAATGAGACCTTTGAGATTGATATTATTCGATGGTTCAATCTTATCTATAATAAATCATAGACTGACAATTATGCTTTCTGAATAATCAAATTTCATCTCATTGTACACTCTTATTCAAACAAATTACAAACCATTCAACTATAAAAAAAAATGTAGGACAGTGTAATTTGATAACTTGGCTTTTGAATCAGAATAATTTCATTTGTATCATTATTCATTGCCATGTTACATAACCTATAGTGATGAGATTAAAGCAGACATTAATCAAAATTCTGAACTTAAAAATAAAAAATAAAAGATACAAATATTTGAAAGAGCAGAATTTTTCCACCCTGCCCAAAGAAAGACCTTTCTCTAGCCCCCTCTCTTTGCTTATCATTAAGAAAAAGAATTCAAAAAATTGCAAAAGAACTTGTTAGATATTACTCCATGAAAGAATGCGCGCGAATCCAATCTTTTTCAGTATCAATGCACAATCTGCTCCTGCTCCATGTATAGCTGGTCTACCCATGTTGGCATCGTCTCAGAACCTCGACTAGTATTCAGACGATACTGTTGATCTTCCATCATAGCCAATTGTCTCGAATCCGGGGACTGAACCCAAGAGACATCAGGCTCAATGGAATAGTCTGAAACTGAGGCTTCACTTGTAGTAGGAAACCTACTGCCACTGCTCCGTAAACCAAACGAAGCAGATTTTCTCAACTTATTGAGCTCTTCCTTCTGGATGCCCCAGTCCAATTTACCATCAGGTGAGCCCCAGCCTGAGAGGTTAGAAGGCACAGCGGATGCATTTGGAAGACGGCCTGCACCACTTCGATCAATGAAACTCTGGCTTCGCCTGGCAAATGCAGCTGCCCTTGAACTCAAAACTGCTGTTGCTGCAGCATTAGATGGATCAATTCCATATGAAGATGATGTCCTAAAAGACGGTGAAGATTGACCGGAAGAATAGCTTGTCATATGTTGCTGGTTCATAGTCTGTCGCATCTGCATAGCTTTGGGAGATTGCAGCTGGGGTGATACAGCATCAAGTGATAGTCCTTGCAGCTGAGACAATATCTTGGCATCAAGGTTTGCTAAGATATCATCAAGATTAGAGGGGTTCAATCCACCATGCCTACTGAATTCACCGTTTCGATCATTTGAAGAAGCTGCAAAAGCAGCAGCTTTGGCTGAAGAACTATTCCACCTGGATGGCAAAGAAAGAGCAGATAACTCATCCATCAGCTGATCTTGCATCAGATAACCATTACCTATCTCCATGTCTCTGGCATTGATTGCGCTTTTTAACCGACTAATAGGCAGCTGCAGGGTTGGAGTTGCAGGGCTGGACTGGCAGGGCCACAAAGATCCACTCACAGAAGAAGCTCCTGCAGAAGGAGACATAGGTGGAGTTGAAGTAGGAGGTATCATAACTGATGGAGAGCCGAGGGCTAGTGGAGTAATTGATGTGATATCCAATGACGATGCGCCACTGGAATATGATCTAGGGGAAAGAACAGCAGACCCCGTGGAAGGATACAAGGGGCGAAGTTCTTCAGGTTTGTGGGCAAAGAAGCATACCCTCCTATTGCAATTTGTTTCATCCTTGCACATACGGGTCCGGTATTGTGCAGGGTGAAGCCAGCACTCAAAAATACCATGTGCATACTCGCAAGAGTCTCCCCTTTGGCATGTCCCCTTGCGAAAGTCTGGACAAGGGACACAACTATAGTGGTATTTACTAGGGTCACGCCTTCTAGCGTTTTCACCAGGGTGAACAAAGGGGCACTCTGTCCAATCATGGGAGTATGCTCTTGAGCATGGTTTCACCTTAAATATGTACATTCTAAAGTCATCAGTCCCATATATCCCATTCTTTATGTCCGGAAGAGAGGGATCGACAGGATATTCTTTCTTCTCGATCCCAAATTTAGATACAGTTGGAGTCAACAACAGTTGTTCCTCTGCTTGTTCAGAAATGATCTGATCAATCACCTCGTCGCTGCTGCATCCTCCGAGCAAGTGCTCCAGTATCTTCCTCCTAGAGTTGAGGCAACAACTCTGACCAGAGATCAGGTCAACAGCTCGTTTCCCGTTTGCATCCACCAAATCCACATCAGCAGAAGCATCAAGCAAGAGCTTGACAACCTCAAGCAAAGCTGCAGAGCCACCAGAAATTGCGCAGTGAAGCGCAGTAGCCCTATCCGAACCACAAGCTTGATTAACATCAACACAACCCTTCTCAAGCATATAATTCAGCACCTGTTTGCAGCCAAAAGTAGCAGCAACCATAAGAGGTGTCCTCTCCTCATATCCCATCCTCTTTACACCAACTCTCCTAACATACCATAATCCCACCTCATTGATGTCATGGCCTTCCTCTTCTACAGCCTTTTGGAAGTTTCTAATATCATCCGAGGCCGACAACTCGAGCAAAAGGGAGAAATCAGGGACAAGTTCTTTTTGCTTCTGAATTTTAGCTTCCATGGCTAATTCAGTAGAACAAACTTGACTCCTAGAACCACTACACATGAATAGGGTCTGTGCTTCTCTACAAAATTTAGTACAAGAGAAATTTAGTACAAAATATTATCAAATTTCACCAATAAAAAGAAATCTGCAGCAAGCATAATCTTCCTACTTGACCAATGGAAATGAAATTTCAAAACCCCATATACTACTACTCAATAACTAATAAAAGCAATAAAAAATCCAAACAACCATAAAAATGTTAATCTAACACATGAGCTGCTCTGAATACTAGTACAGAGGCATGTTTATCAGAATCCAGTTCCAATATTTGAGCAGTAAAGTCCAAACCATGCGAATTTACAGCTACTGCGATCAATAAAGTAAGCAATTTACAAACAAGAATCTCTCTTGAGATCCTAGTCAGGGTGGGTATAATAAAAAAGAGATAATGGTCAAAAACACACCAAACCTGTCATTTTTCAAGAGCTTCACAT